GTGTCCTGTACATCCTCAGAAACTAGAGAGGGAGTAAGGAAAAAAACCCAAACAGCTCACTTCTTGAAAGTTTCATGGTTCTTGAGCATTTGCATTATGAGCCCTGGTTTCCTTCCTTTCAGTAATATTGCACATTGATGCAAAGAAAATTTTGGAAGTCATGCAGGAAAGAAAAAGTGCTTGAGCAATGGCCAGTGCCTGCATGGCCCAGGCAAGACGGACGTGAGGACTGTTTCAACTCCCCTTGCAGTTCAACAGGCTTGAGAAATCCTGGTTGCTGGGAAACCTTTATACAGATTGTCCCTGCAAATGCTTTTACCAGGTCGCTCTGTCCTTTTCCTAATTCAAACTGCAATTATAGAGATGATAAAATGGAAAATAAATATATATGCAGTAGCTGAGAAAAACCAATTAGTTTTGCACCGGTGAGAAATAATACAGAACTCCCTGCATCTTTAACAAACTGGCTCTCAATATATATTGTGATGCATCTTCATGACCCAAATATACTTAGGAAGAGCATGACAACAAAATATATGTTGAAAGTGTAATGAAGGAACTAATGCAGTAAAGTTACTATATAAAAAAAAAACCCCAAACAATTAAAATGATATCCAGGTAGTAACTTAGGAGCCAAATGTCATAGCTGTCTCTTTTGCAGCCAAAATATGTGTACTCTCTTCCTAACAGTCTCTTTCCCTAAGGAAAAATAAATGTGTCTAAGAAATACTTGTTAGCAATGCAATTACAGGCTTAATTCCCCAACCAACTTCAGACATCATAAAAACAAAACCAAGCAGAAGCCCTTTGCAATTGCAATGGAAAAGAGACAGAAAACCACTAAGTGCTCAAAGATAATATATTTTTGTAACAAAAGCTGACACACTCTTTGACAATAACATTTGAGGTGATATTAGCATTTATTTTTCAACTGCGCTGTCTTTTTCTTTTAAGCTACAGCCTAGAATGAAAAACTTCTAAGGGTAGACTGTGCTACTCTTGAACAGGACTTTTGGAACACTTAGACACCAAAGTAGCTTTGCCAAACTCTCAGAAAAGCAAAGCAGCTTTGTATCAAATTAACATTTCTTGGCACTACTTACTTCTGAAGGTTTGATATCTCCAAGGAACTTAATGAGAGCTGGGTTATTTGTACGATGTGGATTCAACCATGAGAGATGAAACACTGGGAAGATAATTCAGAGCACTTCTGAAATGTTGGCACCAACAAAATGAGATCAAAATAAAAGTTTGAATAAATAAGATGAAGAGGCCAAAAATGCTAAACCTAACCTTTTTTTTTTTTTTTTTCCTGCTACCGTGGAGAAAATACCCATATTCATATCATGACTTGGAAAGAAAACCTTCAAGAGGCCTGGCACAAACCATAGGAAGTTTGTGACTGTGCAAGCCTCAAGTCTGTGGTGTCCCTCTCTGGGGTCTAGATTCATCCATATCCCCTCATGTATTTGCTTACCACTGTGCTCCCTACCCAGCCTGGGCACCCTGGGCTCTCTCATTATTCACAGTAGGGTCTTGAGCTCCTCCAGAGATGCCTGTCTAGGGAGGGGCTGTCTCATTCCATTGGTTTCACCAGGAGAAGCTCTGAGCTTGGACACTTTCCTGTGTGGGGAGTAGGTGTCTGATACTCCTAATCTGAAGTTCTCAGCTCTGTAGAAGGATTCCCACTTCATTTGGTAGCAGCATGGACTTTTACTGTTGGAGGTAGAGGTGTACACCACAAAATAGTACAACACTTTGCTCCTGCTAGATCCCCACTCCCAATGCAAACTTGAATTTCTTTGACAAGAAAAGTTTTGGCTGAAAAGTCTTTTTCTCTGCAATGACTTTGTGCAATTTAAAATCCCATCTAAAACATTGCAGATGACTTCTACCTCTCAGTTCAGTTACTATCAAAAGTTTCCATTCTTTTGAAATATTGACAGCAAACCGAAGATAAATATATTGAAGTTTAAAAATTTATTATTTTAAAATATTTAACATTAACATGTTTTTAATGATTTTTAAGTTGGATTTAAATCAGGGTAGATTTTTTCCTTTTGACGCTCACTTATAAAAGGTTACTGCATTCATAGGTTCACAAGAGTAGGAAAGTGGTTTTTCTTTCAATTTGTCTTGCCTCCAGCCTTGGATCACAAAATGACAGATGGCTGGAAGGCACTGGAGCTTCACTGGGTGAAAAAGCATATTCTCACTATGAATGTAAAAACTCTAATAACCAAGCCCCAGAAATCACAAGTGCCTGGATCCCTGGGTTACAAGCAATACAGTATAGAGCTGCTAGAGTTGATGCCAGAGAAAGGTAGAGAGGAACTTTGCAGATGATCTCTAAGATGTCTCATGGCTCATAAAAATGATCGACTTCACTGGCATTTTCAATTAATAGATGCACCGACTTTTCCTCTGTACATTTAAGCTGTCAGTATCTATCCCATAATGACAAGATAGAGGGGATGTTTTTTTCTTTTTCCATATTTAAAGTGTGGCTGATTAAAGTTAAAATGGGATCAAGGATATGCTTTTTTTTACTAATGGAGCTTTCGGATAATAATGATGAGAAGCTTTCATTTGCAGAAGCCAGTGTGATGCCTCACACGTCTGTATTGGATGTAAATCTTGAGAAATGTCCTTGACTAGGGTCATTAGAACTGGTATGATTGGATATGTGACATTTTTAATGTAGACTCAGAAACAAACTGCTTTATTATTGAAAGGCTAAGATGAATTTATTGAGATGGTCTGAATAATTTTTCTGAAACAGAAAGTCCACAGACAGCTGCTCTCTCTCTCTTAATGAGTTTCAGAGACTGTATAAAGAGGAAACCCAAGTCTTTGTGGGAAGCTCTGAAGAGATTTCTTTCTATCCTGCCTCACAGCCTGTCTCCTGAGAAGCACAACCACCAGCATTGACAATAATAAACACAAAACAGAAGTCTAGATTAAATGCTGTGAATGATCTATGGCTTTGTTTTGCTGGTATGCACCTGAGGCTCAAGACCCTTTTGCAAAATGATGGAAACTCATCTATCTCACTAACAAAAGTTACATGGTTACAGTGGCTTGAAACAGAAAATGGCTTTATCTGTAATCTTCTGAGGTGGATTTTAAATTTCCCTTAAATTGAGGGTACTTAGACCTGATACTTCAGCTTAGCATTTTGGAAAGGCTGAGATCCATTGTAAATCAGGTCTTAGGCCAGGTTTATTTTTCAGGCATCTCCAGTCTGTGACAGGATTTTGTTGTTTGGTAATTTCTAAAGGAAATATGAGTTCAGAAGCTCACAGAGACACTGTAATAAGGCTGACATTTATGGGAAGAGGAGCCAGCAGAAGCCCTTGTTGGGCATGAATTATAAGCCTTTGTCGGGTTCCAGGGTGCACAGCTGGAAAGGCCATCTTCTTTTTCCTCCTTTACTCCCTCTTGGCAGCAGAATAAAATTGCTATTTAAAGGCCTTTCTGGGGTGGTGAGAAGTGTGGTACTTCTGTTTTGTAAGATTTCTGCACCTTGGATGCCAGTTTCTTCTCAAACCAGCCTTGCCAGCATTCCACATTGTCAGGTCCAGTAAGTGGCAACAACTTTAAAAAACATTAAAGACCAACCTTTTAATGTTCAGAAGGAGATAGGAAGTTTCAGGCATGAATTATAAAATCAATCTCTTCCACCAAAGGGACTAATAAGGGTGCATAGGTGAGTATAAGCACCTGGGAAAAGGCTCTCAAGAAAATAACATTAGAGAGGCAAAGGTGACAGCACATTGTGGAAAAAAACACATGTATTTCTACTGTGGCTGTTTATAAAAGCACCTGAGATACAGTCAGCTACTTGGCTCACAGGTTCCACAGAAATGTTTGCACAGCTGACATGCAGGACATGTGGATCTCTGATGACATTAACCCATCTTTTTGAATTTATATCATGTACAAATGTGCCCCCTGCCCTCATGAATCTCAGACAGAGTATGTGTTCTGTGAAATGGGGGAAGGGAGGAGAGATCCCAGCTCATCATATCCATAATAGGCTACCCACTGTTACAAAGACTGCAGAATTTAAGTGCAGCCCCCAGCATTTACTCACTGCCCAGTGCTAATCTCTCCTGAAAAGACTGTGCACAGGTAAGGATCTCAATCACAGTCTGTTTCTGCCAAGAATATAGTGAAACACAGACAGCACCAGTGCAAAATTTCCCTTTAGTGCCAACGTGGTCTGAGGTCAGATTGTGAGATAGGTGAGGCTGGAGTTCTTCTCCCCTTCAGGGACTGTAGCTGTTGATAGAACTAACAAACCGAATAAAGCAGAAATAACAACCTGCAGTCCTTCCTGCTGAAATAAAGATTTCAATAACCTGTGTTGCAAATGGCAGTAATAAGCAGTCTCTTCTGTTTTGGACCATTAGGAGCAAATATGACAGGGGTAGAAATCAGATTTCAGAGCAATCGTTTGCATTAAAGGGCTTGCACAAAGATGGAGTGAGGGAGATTTGCTTTCCTTACAAGCCAAAGCAGCAGAAAGGCAAACAGAGGTTTGCCTGTTTCCAGGCAAATCAGGCTGTTTTAATCACCTTCCTTCTCCCTTTCAGTGCATCCATACGAGTGCGTGTGTGGACTTTGATGTGCACATACTGTGCTTGACCCTCGGCCCACAACTGGGAGAGCACGCACCCACTGCGTGGCCAAAAAGCATATCCAGCATCAAACAGGGAGGGGAAAAAAAGAAAAACAAGGAGGGAGGCCTGAAACATCCAATCTGCTGTGCTCAGCAAGTTACTGGTTGTTATGGCAGTGACGCCATCGGGACTAGGAAAGCAGCTTTCTCTCGCGGTGGGTTTTTGAGGAGATTATTAAAACATTTTCGTTTAAAAATACTTGGCAGAGACTTCTGCATAAGTCAAGAGGACATTTCTGCCCATATCTGCTTCCAACAGAGAAAAGAGAGTTTAAGGGGGGAAAAAAACCCAAGCAAAACCCTGTCGACTTTCCTTATGGCTACCAAAAAGGGTCTTGAAAGAGCTTGTCTTGTGAACGAGAGGGACACCAAGAAGTATTCTTTGGCCCTAGACAGGTAACACAACTCTTTGTTTCCTTCACTGCCACTGCTGTCTCTGAGCGATAAGAGATCACCAATCTGCTGAGGGGCTGCAGGAGTCAAAGCCTGGAAAGTTTCACAGTGTATGAAGGGAGTATCTTTTACTACTTTCAAAATGTTTTGTTTGATTTTTTCCTTCTCAAACTTTCTTATTAAATGTTTGAAGCATTTACTAGACAGCAGTCTGATGTGTCTGTGTATGTGATGGATTGAACCAATCTGCTATTGAAGCAAGTGTCTCCTGCTATGTATTTTATAAGCTTAGTAGATTTATTGTAGGATGCAAAACCTCATGGATTATGCTGCAATTCTAGGCTGAATTATAATCGTGCTATTGACACCGTGTTTGATTCAAGGCTCCTTCATGCTTGAATGTGTAAATTATCCATTTGGTTTGAAAGAAAGGCAATGCTTTATTCCTGTGGATAGTCTATTGGACTTAGAGCTGAAGTACCTCTCAGATCTTGTGAGTAAATGCTTGTTTGAGTGAAGAAAGATCCTCTGAAAACATAAGATATGCTGTAGCTTGGGTGAAAAAATTAGTATAAATGTCCATCAGAAGATAGTTTCTCAGTTTAACTCATTTTCATTCTTCCTTTTGACTCATACCAGAAAGTATTTTTTAAAGAAAATAGCTGCTCAGTTACAGCTTAGCACCTCTTGGCATTTCCATTATCTCATTGGTTTTCAGGTTATTTATTGCCTGGCTCTCTTAAAACGCGTGGGACAGAAACTTGGCGTAAACACTGTCAGTTCAAATGGAAATCTGTCTCTCCATGTTCTTATCCTGGGGTCACTGCCATCGTATTTTAGTCGTTTGAATGTCTGGGTTATTATTTAAATATTATTACGTGGCTCCATAAATATACATGGCACTGTCCAAAATGACTTCTGTGGTAATATTTCTATTTCAGAAAGATCCCATATGATTCTGCAGTTCATTTTAGTTACTGAAGACTCTCAGTTTTTTTGAAAGTTTGTAGTTTTGTGGGAACAGCTTCAGTGCTTGAGGTCCTTTGGTCCCTCATCACCTCTGGACACAAAGGACAATTTTGGACAAACCCTGAGACAGGGACAATTTTAAGGCTTCCTTATGAGGAAGCCTTGGTTTCCCTGGATCACTGGTAACAAGGAATATTCCTGGTAAGAAGAGGGGTAGGATGCACACTGGGGGAAAGAATACCTGGCAGCTGATCCTCCCATCTGAGCTGACTTACCTTCTGGAGGAGTCGATTTGTTTCTGATAATTATTTCTTAATTTTGGATCGAAGTTAGTTGATGGGATGAATCACTGCAACAATTGCAATGGCTGATGGCTGCAGCTACATACAACAGCCCCTGAGCTGGAGGGCTGGTTCTTAATTTTGGATTGAAGTTAGTTGGGATGAATCACTGCAGCAATTGCAATGGTTGATGGCTGCAGCTATATACAACAGCCCCTGAGCTGGAGGGTGGTTCCCCAGTGGCAGTCCTGAGGTGGCTGAGAGATGGAGGTAGTAACACAGCTCTCCAAAAGGAGGAGGACTTATTGTCCAGCCTTGTGCTGCACCTCCATTTGGCTTTTTCTGTCAGACAAAATCTAAGTAACTGCACAATCTAATTACTCTGTCCATTCCCAGAAATAACCAGAAATAGGGACTGAGAGCCAGTCTCCCTCCTTTTGGGAAGAGCTGGCAGGGGAGGGTTAGTCCTGCTCCCCATTCCAACCCAGAAGCCCAGCTACCCAAGGTGCCAGCCCACAGGCCAGAGCCAGCCCATCAGGGAATGCAGCCCGCTGGGCTTGGGCTTACACAGAACAGCTGCCTGCACAGCTTCAGGTGTCTTAAGCCGATCAGTAGCAATAAGCTCATTTTAGCCTTTGGGATAAATTACCACATTTTTCCATTCTCCGTGTGTAGGCTTAATGAACAGCTCTAATGCTTCCAACAGACTTTATTTTGCACACAGATTGCATATTTCTTTGCCATCCTTCAGCTTCTTTCTTTTTGATACATGCCATCATTACAGTACACACAGAACAAAACTGTTTTTATCTTGACCATGTGAGCAGGAAGCCTGAAAGCAGACCCTTTCCTTGTTCTCAGGGCTGTGGAGGAGGGTTTTTTGCACATGCCAGGCCTGTCTGTAGTCACTAGCAGATTTGGATGCATTGTGGTTTCCCATGCTAAACTTGAAAGGCTTACAAGGGAATGGGCTTTAACTGAGCCCTCTGAAAAATAGATTAGTTGTAAGCTTGCAGAAAAATTCACATTGGAAAGGACCTCAAGGAGGTCTCTAGTCCAACGTCCTGCTCATAGCAGGATCAGCCAAGAGACTGAACAAGGTTGCTCAGGGCTATCTCTGTTCTAATCTTGAAAAAAATCTCTCAGGATGGAGACTGCACAACTTCTCTGGGCAATCTGCTCCCATACTGAATTAACCTCACAGTCTTTTTTTTTTCCTCATATTCATTCTGAACTTGTTTCACTTTATGACCAATGACCTCATTCTTCCTCCATGCACAGCAATAAACCTCCATCTTCTCAATAGCTTCCTCAAAAATATTGGCAGGCTGCAGCCAGGTGCTTTTCTCTAGACTGAACAAGTCCAATCCCTGCAGAAGTGTTCCAGCCTTTAACCATCCTAGTTACCCTCTATGGAACCTGCACCAGTTTATTGATCTTTCAAAATTAGGGACACCAAAACTGGACACAGCATTCTAGATGTGGTCTCATAGGTCTGTCAGTCCCACGTGCAGGACTTTTCATGCATCCTTGTAAAATTTCAGAAGGCTCCTGTTGATCCCTTCCTCCAGCCTGCTTATGGCAGCCTTGCCCTCCAGTCTATCAACTGCACCCCCAGGGTGGCATCATCTGCCAAGGTGACCAGGTGCACTACACCACCTCCTACAGGTAACAGACAAAGACATTACTCAGGATGGGTTTCAGGAGACGAGACCACTTCCCACCAGCCTCGAGGAAGGGTATGAACCATAATGGTAAAAGGGTCTGAAGCTGAGTGCTCAGAACCTCCCGCTCCAGCCAAGTGTTGTCTGTAAGTCATTCAAAGAGATTTGCACCATCTCTCTTTAAATTAAGTCTGAACTAGGTGTCTACGATGGTTTTCTATGGTCTTTGTTTGGTCAGTTGTGGTAAGAGATATAAGTTTTTCAATGATTAATCATTTATTATGCTATTTTTTTATTTGTTATCACCTATCTCGTGATCTAGACAATCATTTATCACAGTCTAGGTAATAGTTCAATCAAATTCCTGAAGTTTCCAGGAATGAAGACAGGCCAGATGATTTTATTTCTTGCTGGCAATTGATCAGTGTAATATTAAATCAGTGAATATTCCACTTCATAAATCTGTGAATTTACCTCTGATTGTGCCCGTTATACTGTGAACTAGATTTTGGCTTGATTCAGCATGATTTACTGAACTTCTGATTATGTTCTTTATATGTCATTTTAGTGGAAATTTGAATACCATCACACAGTGAAACTCAAGGCTTTTAGTCTGAAGGTTTCGAGTTTTGTTCTGTCTCTGAGACAAGAGAAAAAAAATGAGGGGGGGGGCCAATGCTGAAGGCAAAAAAGATGTGTTAAAATCTTAGGGCTTGTCTTCATGCAAAAGTTTTAAACTTTTAACAGGGCATTAGGGTGACCTGTAGATATTGCTGCCTATCAGTCTTAGGCTCATGATTGATTCCTGTCTGCCAGGCTCATACCAATAGGCAAAAGTTTGAAGTGAGCCTGGGAGATGATTTCTTCAGGTAAAGAGTGATTTTGTATAACAGGCACGTAGGGAATATTTTCTTCTTTTTTTTTGCCTTCCTGCAGGCAATATGAAAACTCTTACGAGATCAAAGAGTCCTCATCAAATAAAGGCTTTCCACCACTCCTTATGCTTTACAGAATTCAATGCTTAGGAAAACTGTAGGTGTTTCTTGTGACTTCTGAAGTGTTTTATCTGAGGGCTCTGTGGTTATGCCTGCCTCCTTTGTACTGGCTTGCCAGCTGGTCCCAGTAGCACACAGTATTTTAGCAGACTCAGCAAAATCAATACCATTGCCTTTGCCCTCCTGTTGGTGACATTAGGACCCTGTAGAAAGGACTGTGTCTCCCCAGTACTGGCCACATGCCATCTCCATTATGCACACTTCAATTATGGACACTTCATCTCAGAAAGAAAATTAGAACCAAGATAGTAAGTGGTATGAAACAGAAATTAAATGGCTAGGGCATCAGCTCAGAAAATTGATGGTTCAGAGGTGTAACAATGATACATAAAATCATGAATGATGTGATGAAGGTAAACAGGGAATAGTCATTCATTGTTTCTAACAGTACAAGAACTAATTAAAATAGCAGGCAGACAGCTTCAGAGTAACAAAGGATGCATTATGTTTACACAAATCATAATTAAACTGTGAAACTCAACACTTTCGAGTCAGCTGGGTCTGTGGAATAAAGATCTGTAAAGGGCTGTTAGGCAGGAACTCTGGTTCAACCACCTCCCAGTCTCCAGATTTGTGTAACTGGGAAGTAGCCCTTCTCTGGATATGTTCATTTTTGGTACTTTGTCCTTATGTATTCCTTCATGATCATGACAGAGTTTGCATACTTGGCTACATACACCTTGGTCTATCTCCAGGCAACTATTGCTTTACTGTTTGGAGGAAGGAAATTTAATGACAATACATTTATGTATACAGGGCCAGGCCCTCAAAATGCAATTAAATAAAATAACCAAGGCACAAATTCCCAATTATTAGACATCTAAATGTATGCAAATATATAAATATTTGCCTTTATTTTGTGCCCACAATAAGGAAAATGAGAAACTGGACAGCCAGGCTATTAACAGGGTCTTAAATGCCTTGGAAATATTCAAGATCGACATCAGAATTGTGCCAGAATAAAGGAGGTGACTATGGCTTTGATAAATTTTTCTCTGAAGGCGGTTTCATTATCCTTTCAGGCACCAGAAAATTACTATTTTCCCTTGTGAAGGAGATGATCTCCAGTGGGAAGTGCAGTGATTCCAAATTTTACTCTTTTGACTGGGGAACTCATAATGGTCTAGGAGGATGGCAATTATTGCCATCAGCCTGCAGATCAAGGCACCCAGCAGATCAAGTGAAAACAAACAAAAGGAAGTTGTAATAAAAAGCTATTGCTAATGATTTGTGTGGAATCTGCAATATGTATTAATATTTTCTACTTCCCCCCTTCTGGGCATGACTCAGTAGGAGCCTTTCTGTGACATTCCCCTGACTATCTTCTTTACAAAGAAAAGAGAATTTGAAATGGAGAAAAGATTATTTTTTAATCTGTGACTCTGTAATGTGCAGGTGCAGAGATCTGATACTCAAAGGCTACATCTTGCTCTAACACACTCTGAAGGGGTTTCTCGCTTAACAGAGCTGATCTTTGCACCTTAAGCTTTTGATTTACACTTTTATAAAATTGCCTCTTAGATTCTTTTAATTAGTGGCAGGCTGCTTTTGGAAGAGAAAAATAATGCACAGGAGCTGGCAGGAGTTTTTGAACTCATTGGGCCAGATGCTGTTCTGTGAGTTCAGTGAATGCTCTCCACCTCTGGCAACTGGGGCACTTTTATTTAGGTGCCCTTTAGACAGAAAAAAGTGACATTTGTGGGTTTATGTTATCTCTGTTTGCTTTTGCATCTGTCCAACAATATCTATGGATAGTGCTTTCCTGCCCCTCTGTGATGCCCAAGGTTTTCTTAGCTGATAAAGAGACCTGAAGATTAAAAAAAAAAAAAAAAGAAAAAAAAAAGGGAGTGGGATCACAGAGCAACCTATTTTGTTAACAGCAAGAAAAGGATTTGGTGGCTCAGAAATATGCAGCTGCAATTTTGCCATCCCTGCCCTGGCAGGCTGTTGAGCTGATCGTGACTCATGTAATTAAGATGATTTTAATGTTCAATGCCAGCTGATGAAAATTGAGGTAAGGGGAAATTAATTTTACATGCAAACTATAGAAAAGAATTGGAAGTTAACTCCAGAGAGAGATCACGATAAAGAAAATCTTGCCTGCCCTGATCTCCAGGGGAGAGTGAGAGAACTGCAGCATTTTATTCAGCCATCTGGAAGGAATTAATTTGTTGTACCTTCTGTGTCTAATTCATCAGGAAAATACTGTACAAAAGTGACACAGAGCACATGAGGACCATGATGAATATAAAACTAAAGGACTGGAGAAGGACTGGCTAGTAGGGACCCCAGCTGCCAGATGGGCAGCCCATTCCCCAGGCAGCCCAGCTTCCATTTATTCATTGTTGTGAGGAAAATAAAGAAAAATGCTGACAAAAGGACTAAGAAAACTCATCGTCTCCAAGCACCGGGCATTAAATCTGACCAGTTGCTCTTCCACACAAGCCCCTCACATCCACTGAGCAAACAGAGACCACATGCTAACCAGGCTGGGAAGCAGGCTGAGTCAGGGGAATGTTGCATCCTTGGAACATCTCAATAATATTTACAAAACCAAACCCATACTGATTATCTACAGTTGCAGGGCTTGGCTGCCAAAGTGGGTCAGTTTTTCTCCTTTTGCCAGTACCTCTGTGGTGTCGATGAACACGAATGGCCAAGGCATCCACAGCTCTGCAGGTGCCTTAGCCTCTTGCCCATTGGTGTGGGGCATCTGGCAGGACTTCAGACCTGCTGAGCAGCTGCAGCCTGCTCAGGCTGCCCATAAAAAACAGCTGCAAAAAGCTTGTGATTTTGGTACAGTTTTTTTCTTGACATTGACTACTGCAGGTTGGCAGCCACCAGCTGATTTCCTTCCAGCGAGATTTTAGGCATCTTGACACTTCAGTGATAAGTGCAGAAACACTACAGATAGTCACTTGGATCCATCTTACTTCCTGGAGCACAACTTTCCTTCACTCAGATGAAGAAACACTTCTTCTGTGACCCAAAAGAAAGTCTGAATCAGAATGGGGAAAAGAGGCTGTTATTACTGGGGCAGCTAAGCCCAGTCCCACATCCTGCCCCCAGGCTAATTTCAGACTTGAAATAAAGCAGTGGAGTTCGCTGTGTTCCTGGGTAGGCCCTGCACACAGAGACCTCAAATAGCTGCAGCTCATGGTTATATGGATGTTATGTGTGTACATCTCAGCAGAATTCACCTTCTGATGCCACAGTCTCAATACACAGTTATCACATCAGGAGTAGCTCTGGCAACAAATGCTTTATCTGGAGAGATGTAATGGTTTTCAGTCAAGCTTTCCAGGACAGAGTGAGCCTTTGGGTTCTTTTCAGCTGAAAGATAAAGAGAAGGGAACATCCTTGCTCACCAAACCACCGCGGGGGCTCCCCTGGGGCAGTCTGTGGGTTACTATAGTGAAAGCACCAGATGTCATGGTCATCTAGGAGTTACCACAGTTGTATGTGATGGCCCTGGACCTCTCTATTCCCACTGTGTATTTGCTGTGCAGGAACCCTGACAGGGACAACACCAGGGCTTTTTGGCAGAGCAGATTTGGCTGGGAAATCACCTTGTGATGGAGAAATGCTTGAAGAGCCACTTCTACTGAACTTCTCACCTTTCCATGAAAGCAGTGGCACAAAGGGGTCAGCATACTATGAAAAATTGATTTCTATGATTTTTTAAATACCTTTGAATTTTTTAGTTCAGTATTTTCTATGTTCAGGTTCTACAGGAATACTGATATTTTTTGTACATACCTGGAAATTTAAGATAAAATACTTCTGGGTGTAAAGAAAGGAAAGAAATATCTTTAGCCATTTATATTTGAGAAAATTTTTAAAATTTTTTTACCAGTCTTCCTGACAAAGCTATTGGGAATAAAATCCTGAATTTTTCATTAGAATTGTCTCCATGATATGCTGAATTTGGTAACTATTTGCATGAGGTATGACTTTTTGAAAATCATATGGTGTGCATGAAATACACAGCCTAAGAATCTAGCCACACTGCACTTCATAAACTGCTAAATGATGTAGGAGAACCCAAAGAGCTGGGAAACAAAACCAGAGCAGTTATTTCATGTGCAGCTCCCTCCCACAGAGCCCTGCTTGTGCGAGAAAGCCTCTTCTGTGACCTGCGCTGCTGTTCGCAGCTCTGCTTTTATCCTTTGAAAACATTAAGTACATAGTTTCTGAGTCTGCAGGGTTAGATGCCCAAATAACTAGGTTTTTTTTTTTTTTAACCTTCTGTTTCTTTCTATCCCAAAGGATGAGCTGGCTTCAGAAGAATTTAAATGAAGAGAGGCAGAAGCAGGAAGCAGAAGTTACTGAAGCTAATCCAATGTATCACTGTCACGGCTACTCACAGGCCTATGAGAACAGAAAGAGGGAGCAGCATCAAGCCAGGAAGAAGCTCTGTGTAGCATCAGTAATTTGCATCTTCTTCATGATTGCTGAGATAACAGGGGAGTATGTGTGCTCAAAGAGAGCTCAGTCTGGTGCCCAGCACAGTCACATTCATGCCTTCTGTACACACTGTGCCTGCAGGGACCCACAGTAGCTGGGATTAAATAACCTCCTTTGTCACCAGTCATTAAAAGAATCACAAGGGAGAGGTGTGTGTGTGTGTGTGTGGGGGGGGTGGTAAGAGAAATTATCAAAGTATTTTTATATATTCATTCAAGGATTGCATCTGGGTAGGAATACAAAGATCAGTTAATAGTCTGAACTGTTCTCCCAGGTCTTTAAACTTGACTAAAAGTGGCTAGTATGTCTTAGCATGATGTCACAGAAGGTTTCTAATAAACTGGATTTTTTTTTTTTAAAGATTAAAGGATTTTGCATATTTATCCAGGCCAATGAGACTCAACATTGATGAAGGCTGCTAGCAGCAGAATCTGATAATAAATGCAAGAGTCTCCACAAAATCCAGGGAAATCCAGGGCCAGATTTGCCATCTGTTTTTCTGCAGTTAAGTCAATGTATTTATATCAGGCACGTTTATCTTTTAAATTGGCCTGCTGGTGTGTCTCTGGATCAATGGAAGATTATTCCCCTACTTAATTAGCTTTCACTTCTGGACCCATCCTACAATATCCAGTATAAGTATTTGGCTTGCTCATAGAGCATTAGCTTTCATTTTGTCCCACTGATCTGCTCTCTCCATGGATTCTGTGATATTTATATCCACCTGATAATTCCTGGCTCTTTAACTTGCCCTTCTCCACAGTGAGGTGAGGTAAGGGAAGGCATGAGGAATCCCAAGACTTTTGCCATATGTGCTCCAGGTGATGTAACAAAAATCAGCCAGGAAGGCCTCTGAAACCCATATTTTCCTAGCTCAGGGACCTCTGGAGCCCCATGAAAATGAAAGAGAAAGGCTTTGTCTTCTGCACAGGTGAGAAGTGGAGGCACTGAAAGAGTTGTTGCATTTCTGCCTTCTACCCTGGCTGCCAAACCCAGCAGAGACTTCTCTAACTCTTCCCTCCCATGCTCTCCATCTGCATGAAGCCCCATTCTCTGTAGGTCATGTGAACTTCCCCTGTGAAAACCCATGCATATTGCTAATCCCCATGCAGTAATTTCCAGTGCCAGAAGTAATGCATTATTAACAAAACCATATAATCAGTAGGCTTTAGTTTGGTGAATGCAGCAATGCTAGAGGATAATTGGAAGGACAGATGATATGTTAACTAAATGTTTCATTTTGCTTAATGAATCATACAGCTTTTTTGCAGTGACAGCTTAAGTAACAGGCTTGAAGACCATTTTGCTTCAGACCATTAAACTTTGACAAACCAGTTATTAACTGCAGTTACAGACAGCGCTCTATGGAGATTTTTGTAATTATGAGCCATACATTTAGTGTTTTTAATCGTTAGGCAAGACTGCCTCTGCCTGATGATTGACCATTGAGTGACTGACAATTTCTACTGCTTGTGGTATACAAAGCTATAAACATCCACTGTAGGGAATAATAAGCCATAAAGGCCACTTGTTGGGAGTATTGATACAGAGCAGTAAAAGCCTATAACTATTACACAGACTTTACTCTTGGAAGTAAAGGATATATTCTCCTTCCTTTTACTCTAAGGGCAAACAGCTTCTGTGGGCATTATTGTGCTAAACAGAAGAAACAAAATTACATCCCTCTCAGAGAGGTTGAAAAGTTGTGCTTGTTTGAATGCCTAGGTATTTCCGTGACATTTTTTCTCAAACCATCTCTGTTGGCTATTATTGCTGTCCCAGAAGGGGCACTTGGCTGAGCCTGATACACCGTCTTTGAAAGACCATTATCTTCCATTTTTCTAAAGCAGACCCATCACAATCTCCATAGATTTGGAGATATCAGTCAAACCAATAGTACCCAGTGTAGAGTCCTGATATGAAAGTACTTTCCGAGGATTTTTAGTGGCTATGGAACAAATGTGGATTTCAAAGTACATTTTTTCCATTTGGGCACTAGAAAGAAAGGCAAACCCTGCTTGCATCTTCATGTCAGAGGAGAATATAAAGGCTTGACCAAGTTGCTCAGATAAGCAGATTGGGATCTCAGAAACTCACCCAAGGTATTAGTTACACCAACAATATATAAAATAATAATTTGCAAACATTTTTCAAAGACAGAAGCAAGTTTTTGTGATATTGTCTCACAGAATAGGGAAATACAGTATCTAAAATGTGATGGGGTTTTGCATGCAGCTTGTATTTTACATATTTGTTTGCTGAAAGACAGCTGCTGCCTTGGTTATTAACATCTGTGCACTGTCAGACAAGCCTTCTTCCCTCTGCTATGCAAAACTGCCTCCCACTTGAGATACAGCTACACTGCAAGCAGTGAAAGTCTGAAAGCTGTGTCATGACCAAAAAGTATATGTATATTTATATCTGTGCATGTCCTGGGAAACGCCTCTTCTGCTGAATTTTTCATTTTACTGCAAGGAATGAGGTGCCCCCACATTCTGCAGCCATGCATGCTCCCTTCTGGGAAGTAACTTTCAAGCATTTGTAAATGGGAGGCAACAGAGAAAAATAATATCTGCCTTATATGTGCAAAATCCATTCTCCTGTGGTGAGAAAACATACGATGTTTGGTATTCTAATCTAAATCTGCATACAGGAGGAAATTTAACAGACAGTCCATCCTGCTGGCATGAAGACATTGCACCTATAAGGAAACAAGAGATGTGCCTACAAGTCCCTTTGACAGTGGTATCCTGCCAAAGATTTGAATGAGTCATTTTACAAAGTTTCTCAGAATTCATTGATTCTCATATGGATTGTGGTTAGGAGAAACGGGTGAGCTGAAATTAATTAAATCACTGAAGAATGGAAATGTATTGCCAAATGCAGAAACTAGATGCTTTGGCTCTATTATTTCATTTTTCCATTTTTCTACATTTGCACTCTGATGAAAAGATTCTCCTGCTGCAATGAGTTGGCAGGACACTGTCCTGCCTGTGATCCTTGTCTTCTCCTGCAGCCACCAACAGTGGGGGCAGTTAAGAACAAACTTTCAGTTTATTTGGATTTGCCCTTAGCCCTGAGAAATGGTTAGAAGAATTTGGCAAAACTATGATATTTGGCTTAGTGGCTAAAAAAAATGTGGGTTACAATAACCTAAAACGATTTGAGTTTGTGTTTGTGGTTTTTTAGTTCAGAATTCATGTAAAACCCAACCCTGGCAAAGTAAAATGATATTCAGCCACGTTTTATGAGCTCTAGCAGGAAAATTAAATCATGCATTACAGATGTAAAATGATAGATTATTCCTGAAAAAAGAACATTTTTCTCCATGCCTTCACTAAAATGGTTAGTTGTTTATCACAGGCCTTCGACTGGGACCTTTCCATGTATTCCTGTTTTAGTGTTGCCTGTGACAAATAAACAGTCCGGCATCTAGCTATCCAAACCCCAGGAAGAACATGCATATTTTCCTATAACAAATAGGAAATTAATCCCATAAGCTACATTTCTGAATGTTTGTACATACATAAAAATATCAGTGATCTATGAAAAGATAGTGGGGCAATACTGGAAATGTGATTCCTAATATGGATTTTCACATCACCATCGTGGCTAGGCTTCGTGAATGAAGATTTGAGAAGGGCTCTACCCATGCTTGCTACAAGCACGCGGATGGCTGAAAAGGCCAATGCGAGATAGACAAGTCCAGTTGCAGAAGGTACAGCAGAAAGACTCCTCAGGTGATATCGACAAGACGCGATTCTTTCTGCGTTGTCTTTTCTCCTCGAGAGTGATCCTGCGTGTGTTCTCAAAAGCAGCAGCAGCGTTATAGATGGTGTGTCTCCAGGCCTCCCGATTGGAGGCCAGGGTAGACCAATGGTGGTGATCGATATTGCCAAGGCTGAGGGACTGTTTCAGGCAGTCCTTGTATCTCCTCTTCGGGCCTCCTCTCTTGTGGCAGCCAGTGGCAAGTTCCCCATAGAGCACGATCTTAGGGAGGTGATGGTCCTGCATCCTGGAGACGTGCCCTGCCCAACGCAGCTGAGTTCTCAGCAGCATGGCCTCAATGCTTGAGACTGCTGCCTGTTCAAGGACAGATGTGTTGGTGACATAGTCAGTCCAGTGGATGTTTAGGATTGTACGGAGGCAGCACTGATGGAAGCGTTCTAAGAGACGCAAGTGGTGCCAGTAAATGACCCGTGATTCAGATCCATATAAAAGAGTAGACAGTACAATGGCTCAACGGATTTTCACAGTCCAACAGTAAAATAACCACAAAACTAATGTTTCACAACTTTTATTGTATTTAGGTCTCTCTCTCTCACAAAGAAATTTGGCTTACGTATTTCTATCAATTCATACCTTTTATTACATGAATGAGGTACAAAATGAAATGATCTTTGGAGTGTGTATGATGACTGAAAATTGAGTGTTCCCTCTTATTCACAACAAAGTAGGTCTTGAGTTTGATCTGGTTGACTCAAGCTTCTGATCAGAGCCTTGATATGGATGTGTTTCACACAGGTGGGCAGATCGCCGGGAGCCTGGCAGTGATCACGGACGCGGCACACATCCTGGTGGACCTGACAAGTTTCCTGATCAGCCTCTTCTCGCTGTGGCTTGCCTCCAAACCTCCTACTAAGCAACTAACTTTTGGGTGGCACAGAGCAGGTAGCAAACATCTCACAGTATGAACATGTGGAATGGGAAAGAGAGATTATCATAGCCAGGGACTGGAAAACATGCTGGTGTCCAACACAGTTCTGCAGGCATTTAGAGGCAGTGCACTAATGCTCTCAAAGTCCCCAGGACTCAAGACAAACAGAGTAAGGCAGTGAGCTTCAGAGAAATAAAGAGCATCTCTTAACTACAAGTGTGTCTTTCAGATCATTATTTTCTATAGTTTTGATGCTACCTTTGGCTGAGGTAACAGCAACTTCCCTCATTGAACTGAGTGGGAGGAGGACTAAGTCCTCAATCTGTAATGAAACATAAGTTTCTATCAGAGCAGTGATACTCATAAAAATGAAGGTTTAATCTATTTATAAAGCAAATTATTAAATTATTTTAAAAAGTCAATGTTACATTTGTGGAAAAGTGAGATCCTTTAACATTTGCGCTTTACTAGATCCTCTCCCTGCAATTCTCTTTATCATTGCTGGTTTTTATCAAATGCAAACACAGGCAGGTTTTTAACATACCCTGCCCTTAACCAAAGGCAATATTTTTACCAATGACACCTGATATCAAAAAACTCATAATCAAACACAAGTGTTTTTACAAAAGACAAGACACCTGTTCAAGATTTAGACACCTAAATATCAATGCTACACATACATGACCACATAAATACAGGGTCTGATACATTCAACAGAAATCTAGACTCCAGTCAGCTGCCTGAGCATAGAAGTCTAGTGCTACATCCCTAGGATGTCTGAGTCTTATGCATGGGAATGGCAGCTGTCACACAAGACCCACAGGAGACTGCACAGAATGCCAAGCACAAGATCAGAGCATCTCAAATGTGATCAGATGCTCATAGTTAAGAAACTAATGTGTGTTTCCAGTCAGCCAATCACCATTAATTTGACATCCATTGTCCATAAAGGTAGCTTAGCTCACACCTACAGGTAGACGATTCAATTTAATTGTCCCATTAAATTAAATTAAATTTTATTTAATCTCCTGCTGGATGTCTTGGGACTTAGTTTAGTTGCTCGTATGTGAATGACTCATGCTGTTTGAAATCCAGCTGCCACTCCAGAAGTCTATGGATAAATTATACGTCTCATGTCAAGCCATATGTGGAGGTGCCAATGTATCTCAAATGACTCTAGACACCTGTGCACCTGAACCAAGGGCTCAGGTTATAAATGCTTCAAGGATGTTCAGTATGAAGGCCCAGAAGCAGCTTCTGGCTCAGAATGTCTGTAGACCAAGGTTGTTTGTAGCCACAGAAAGTACCAGGGAAGACATATGTCGTGTTCATCCTGTCTTTATGTAGCTCCCTAAGTATATTCTATCAACTCTGCTGGAAACAAACTGGGTGAGAGGGAGGTTCAGTGCTACTCAAGAATGGCTGGTATTACAGAGGCAACACACAGCTGAATTTTGCAGCCTTAGAGAACTACTACTTACCATCAGTAAATCATTCATTACTTTTTGTGTTTATGCTCTCTTAGCCTGGGGGCAAAAAAAGTGAGAGACTTCTCTCTTGCTGATGTAAGCAGATTCAGCCACCTCATGTAATTTCATCCTCAATCTGAACTAGATTTTTTTTTTTTTCTCATTGCAATGCAGAAGTTCAAAATCAATCCTTTATTGCCTTTTTATCTGCAAAGAAAGCCCTTTATCAAATGTTAGGGGCTATTTAGTTGCATTCCATGATGGTTATCCTGTTTTTTGCTTATTTTCCCAGCTCTATTTCCAGTTTAATATGCAGATAGGTACCTTAATAGAGCAGCTAAGGGGAGTCAGGTGATAGAGTCATTCTTCACTGAGGTCTTGCAGGTGCAGCCCTCCATGATTCTGGAAGCTGTCTGTTCACTGCTGCTCTCAGACTGATAGATATTGCCATGAAAAGACTGTATGACAGGGTTCAGGTTTAGCAGAAGCCATCTGAATGCCTCCTGCCCTGCATGCCAGAGCCAGTGCAGCTGCTTTCAGCAGCACAGATAGAAGCACAATATTGAGTAAGACTGATAGTGTGAGCCAAACTTACTTCCAGGTACAAAAACTCTCTTGCATTTTAATTTCCCCCTGATATGATTCAGAGATTCCCACACAATCCTACACTATTGTTTGCTGTGCTCTGTTAGTGCTAATAGTTCTAATGAAATTTAACTGTGAACTGAGTGCTGCTGAACTGGTCTGTAAACTTAGCTAAACCTTTGCTAAGGTAACACATTGAAAATTAATATGTATTTTCACCTTTGTAGGTAAAGATGAACTTTAACATATTCTGTTGTGAAGGATATGCACACATCCACACAGATATGAGCACAGGTGTTCTCAAAAGCTGTTGGCTGCTTTCATGCCCATGATAGCACAACCATCAGATAGCATCACCTTCAGTTGGGCCAAATTTGCAGTTTCAACCTATAACTTGCAGAAAAAAAATTGTATGCTTTATTTGAGCTTCTCTCTACTTTGAAGCAAAACTAGATTCCCCTGTCAGTGCACTTTCATTTGTTATTTGCCAGTTTTAGAAAAAAAAGGTTATTTGGTAAGCAATTGGAGCCTGGACTGCTGCAAAGGGGGTGACCCCTCATATGAATGTAATCAAAATCCTAAGCTGTTTTCAGGGATTGTCAGTGGAAGTCTGTGCAAATGCTTTCTGGCTATCTACTTTCTTTCACTGTGAGCTTTTGTTTTCCTTGGTACTGTCTCAGTTGTGCTCATTTACCCATTCAAGTCACATGGCAATTACTAGTCTCTCATCCTATTAGAAGCATGCTGCACATTCATATGCACTTCCCTGGACCTCTCCTATGGCAGTGCAATAAAAGGCGGCCTTGGGGACTGGATTTATTTGAGCCCAACTCAGAGCCAATAGAGACAAAATTAAATTTTGCTGCCCCAGGGAAAAAATAACTTCTTTTGTTCTCATCACAGCTGGTGGCACAAAAATGATTTTGTGGCATTGGCAGGATGAGTTCCAGGATAAGTTTTGCTGGCAGGACCTCTATGGGGGCTGTTACTGCCTTTCTGAAGTGTGAAGTGATAAGTGTGCAGAAAGAGGGGAGGCTAATGGGTTTGAATGAGCTGTGCCTCTCTCCTTCCCTCCAACCTCTGCTCCTGTGACCAAGATAATCTTGCTGGGGAAGGAGGGCTGGTCTTTGGGGTTTTCACACCACACTGTCAGGGTCAGGAAACTACACAAGATTTGCTCTTTTATCCTTCCTTCCCATTATAGTTCTTTTTGCTCCTACCAGAACTGCCCAAATGATCTTTTTCATCTCCCCAATTTCTTTGAATGACACATGAACTCAACACTGTAAAGGAGACAAAAGTAGGGGCAGGTAGAACACGGTTAGGCCATCACATGCATAAGGCAGCCCTGGGAAGCCTCTGGATTTATTATGACCAGAAAGGACTTGGCCCATTCTTTGTAAACTCTGTCTGCCAGCATACAAAAAGATGCAGATCTCCTGGCTATAAAGCTCAACAAGCTTGGAACCATTACCATCAAACTCTTAAAATTTCTTGCATTTCTCTTCTGACTATTAAAATCAGATTGTTTTAATTCCTAGAAATTCTGGGAGCTTTGATGTCTATGATAATTGTCTGGATGGTGACTGGCGTGTTGACGTATTTGGCTAGTGTGAGGCTGCTACACCCTGATTACGATATTGATACTACAGTGATGCTCATCACCTCCGCTTGTGCCGTGCTTGCCAACATCCTGTAAGTTATTTTGTTTTCCTCTCCATGTAATATTTGAAACTTAAGCCTGCTGCTGTAATTCAATAAAAAAACTATAGAGAAATATTGGCCTCAAAAATATTAAGTACTTATTATTTTCATGAGGACATGAAAAGGAGTGGAGAAGAGAGATCTTGCTTCTCATTGACAGTCACAGTTGCTCTGCTACTTTCTGTTAGCTGCACACTGGAAAAGCAAAATTCCAGGAGAAGATTAATCTCCATCTCACTTTTTATTCGACGTCA